TAGTACTAGTACTGGTACCAGTACTAGTACTAGTACTCGTCCTGTATGCCTACACTTTCTGCTGCGCCGTACCGCTAAGGTTCGAAATCACCCCAACAGCCTTATGCAGAATGGTCTCTTCCCTAAGCCCTAAACCCTTAAGCCCTAAATCCCGAAAGCCTAATATCTCCAGAACCGCCGAGCTTGGAGTTTCGGATTTAGGATTTAGGGTTTACGACCTGTGGATACAGTAGTTCCCTTTGTTGGTGACCCTAACGTTTATTCTCATGCTAGGGCCCTAGAAGTAACCATGAAACAGGTCTTCCAAAGCAGGGTGCTAGATATGTTACTAGGTCTGATCAGAGTCACGAGATCCCCAGACACCCCACGGCAGAGGCCCGCCAAGTATCAGACCCAAATGCTTGAATGGAGTTTCAGATAGAGCCCCTAAACCCTAAACCCTTTTCTAAGTCTCGGACTTCATAGCATCTTCCTAAACCCTGAACTCCAGACCCTATGCCGCCTATGCGCTCCCCATCCACCAGAGACCACAAGGAGAAGACACATCGAAGCAACCTGGGCATCCACGAGCCCTTGTCGCCGCCAGTCTTTGGGCAGAAGAGTTCGCCTGTTTGTGTTTTGAAAGACTCACCCCGAGTTCTAACCCAAACGCTAAACATCGGGTTCGGTGTCCAGAAGAAAGTACGGTATCTTGTAGTAAGGTGCTGACAACGCTGTTGCGTCTCCCAGTGGGGACAAGTGCGCACCTCCAAGACACATTTCAGATCAGTTAATATGTAATACGTATTCGGTGAGGTCCTGCATATGAGAAGCCTTCAGCTTACTGCACGGGTCCCTTTCTCAAGGTTCGTTATTCTCTGGTGCAGTTGTTGACAGTATAGGGGGACATAGTTGATCATTTGACCAATACTGCTACTAATGATTCTTTAGCCTTACCTTAGGAAAGTTATAGTTCCCCTAGGGGACCAAGTACCTAATAATCGTACACTCTCCCAAATAGTAACCTACATAACTACTATCCGAAACCTAAGTATTGGACCCCCCAAAGCTTTACGTTATTGATGGTTGCAGGCCTTGAGCCCTCAACCCCAAAACTTCAGACGAGACAGATGCCAGCCCTGAACGCAGGCGGGCTAGGAAATGTCGAAGTACTTCTTGCCAGCGCATGGCGACTATTCACCACAGAAGGTTTTAGGGGTTCGGGGTTGAAGGGTTTAGGGCTTAGAATTATGGGACTTAGGGAGGTTTCAATCAGGTCTAGGGATCAAGGGTCTAGGTCTAGGGTTTAGGGCTATAGGATTTCGGATTTAAGGTTTAGGGGTTATAGGGTGTAGGGTTGCCGGCATAGGATTTACGATTACAGCAAAGGGCTTTAAGGTCATAGGGCTGCAAGGCTGTAGGGTTTAGGGTTTAGTGTTTTGGGTTTAGTTAAGGGTTTGGGGTTAGGGGTTTCGGCATGTTGTTCCAACAAGACTTAGTTGAAGCAAACATCGCTTCAAACGTCCGTCTGGGTCCTAGGTGCAAAACGGAAATTCAAGCTCTAGCTCTGACGCAATGCTTTAGGTTTTAGGGTTTAGGTGCAGTACAAGTACCGAAATACTCCAGATACTGTACTATATCCGGCGAGAGTCGAAAGGCCGTGCCCAAAGAGCCAGCCATAGCCAGCGCAATACTTGAACCAGACAGACCCCCAATGGCCACATCACCATGCAAGAACCCCAAACCCTAAACCCTAAACCCTAAACCCTAAACCCTAAACCCTAAACCCTTACCACGAATAGTTATCACAAGGCCGCGCGCGCAGACTTGACTTCTGAGGCCCAGAGGGGAGCGTCATGCTCTGGGCCTTCAACTTAGGGGTTTAGGGTTTAGGGTTTAGGGTTTAGGGTCGGGCGGGTTTCCCGCTTCACAAGATTTATCGTATGAAGGCTGCAGGGTAGAACCTCACATGCACACACCCCGGCACAACACTCACTGCACCTTCCCCCGATCCCCTCAGCTAGACGAAAATCGAGGCAGTCCAAGCATCCATGGTCTTCTTCGCGTGTGCACAGGAATTTCTGAACTCTAGAACCCATCACTAAGCCCCAAGCACTACTTAGGGGCCTTTGAAGACCCCCAAAAAAGATCGTCTAGCATCATATGAAGCCACATGAAAGCCCTGCGCAATCCTGTAGAAAATAAGATCCCCTAATGAAACCCTACACATATATGTACATGTACATACAGCGAGACATATACATATATATATATATACACACCTATGTATATACACACATACACCTACCTATGTATCTGTCTATCTATCTGTATATCTATCTGAATCTTTAAAAGTCTATGTATGAGTCTATCTGCCCCTAAACCCTAAACCCTAAACCCTAAACCCTAAACCCTAAACCCTAAACCCTAAACCCTAAACCCTAAACCCTAAACCCCCCAACCCGCAAAGGCCTCTATAGAGCTTCGCAGGCCGATACACTTGGCAGGGCCATGGCCGACCCAGGTGCCCAAGCTAAGGCCATGTGTGAGGATTGCCTCAGGGTTCTGCAGGGATTGATAAAGTTTGGGGTTTTGGGGTTTTTTCGGATTTGGGGGTCTAGGGTTTAGAGTTTGGGGGTTTTGGGATGTAGGGGTTTTGGGTTTAGAGTCTGGGGTTTAGTGTTTAGGGGTGTCAGGGTCTAGGGTTTAGAGTTTGGGGTTTAGTGCACGGGATGTTATAAAGCCTAAAGACCTCAAAGCTGGAGCCCCAGCTCTGGACCCCGGAAGCCATGAACGAAGAATTCAATCCGAAGGCGTTGAAACTCACTACCCTAAACCCTGAACCAGAACCTACCAGGACAGTCGTTTGCGTTTTTTGTTCTTGGCTACGCCATTGTCCTTCCAGACCCTAAGCATCGATTTGGTAGAACAGTACTATTCCGTTGTGTTGTACTTGTTAGTTCAGCGACCCTAAACGTTAAGTTCTGACCCCTTAAACCCCTGCACCCAAACACCGTGGCTCCCTAGAGCACTAAAGCTCCTTTTGTATAACCCTCCTGTGGCAACGCCCGGATTTCAAGCCGACCTTATGCCTAAACCCAGAACCCCGAACCTCGAAACCTAGCCCTAAACCCTAATCCGTAAACCTTGCACCCTGACGCTGAACCCTAAACCCTAAACTAAACCCTAAGCCCTAAACCGAACGCTAAACTCTCATGAAGGAAGCTACGATCCCGGTGCCCGAAGCTCCTGCTGATGTGGAAGTCAGTTCGGCTGGCGAGGCAGTCGAAGGGAGCAGGGTTTAGAGTTCATGTCTTGGGGTTTAGGGTTTATGGGTTTAGGGGTTTAGGGTCTTGGGTTTGGGGTTTATGGGTTTATGGGTTTATGGGTTTAGGTTTGGTGTTCATGCTTTAGGGCTCCGGCTTATTTGGAGTGCTTGTTTTTGCAAGTCATGATGGGTAGGTTTTCGCAAGGCTGTTTTACAGGGTTTATAAGGCTTCATTATAAGAAGCTTAAGGTGGACCAAGGAGATTTATCGCATTTTATGGGCATGTGGATGAGGGTTTAGGGCTTAAGTGGTTAGATGGTTAGAAGTTTAGGGTGCAGGGTATGGAATAGAACTTTAGGGTTTACGAAGTCATTCGAGGGGCGAAGGAATGCTCCTTTAACCGGACATGGAAGATACATGCCCCCAAAGGCTATCTTACCCGAAACCTGAAAGCTTAACCCTACAAGCAAGATGCAAGGGAGAGGGGGCCTCTTTTGTCAAGGGCCACACGTTGTTGGATCCTTCAAGGTGCCCAGTCTGCTGACACCCAAACCATGTAAAGGGTCCGATAACTATAGCCTTCCGACAAACAAGGAGCAGGAAGGTGCTACCACTGTCTGGGCCAAGATAGGGCCTTTCTTAAGGTACCCATCCCTTGAAAGTGTCTGACCCTACTACACCCTGAAGCACGAAGATTAGCAGTTCAGGATTAGTGTGTGGTGGAAGAAGGGAGCAGGGTATGACACAAGCGTTTCAGACAATAAGGGGCCCTGGCATAAAACTCTGCATACCAGAGTCCTTGTTTTCAGGACTCCTACCTGCGGCAATCCTGTTGTTATCAAGCCGAAACCAGCCCCTGTATAGGTGTCGGGTTTGGTGTCTTCTACAGGGTTTTTGAGGTTGAGAGGGGTTTAGACTTTTCAGTTTTGGCTTCAGGGTTTTATAGGGTGCAGGATGGAGATAAAGCCCGAATGACCGTGGGTTTTGGTCTTAGTGTTTTCGCCCTCCGAACAGATCTAAGCCCTTCCCTAGTTCATTCTACGTATCCTGAAGCCCTAAGCCCTCAACCCTAAAACCCAAAACCCTAAGCGCTAAACCCTAAAACCCGAAACCCTAAGCCTGAACCCTAAAACCCAAAACCCTATGCCTGAAGCAATTGGAAGGACACAGAAGACGACATGGCCTGCGCGGCTCAAAAGGTGCCTTGATCTGAGTTGGGAGCGGTGGCAAGACAACCTGAACCTAAGAAAGTTTGTCGCTTCCTCTTTTGCCAACACCTCCAGGTCACTCGGCTTAGGTGTTTGGGCTCATAAGGTAGTAGAAGTTGTAGGCCAGAACTCATAAGGGTATGAGTCCGGGTATGGGTACTTCAGTAGGTATTTGGATCCTTGAGGTATACTCTAAGCCTCCAACCTCGTATCATGTCGTAAACTGACGCCTGGGAGCGCTGAAGCCTGACCCCAGAACCGCATAACAGAAAGCACGCCTAACATAGTGGCTTGAGCAACTACTTAGAATATCCCGCTGTTTTCCCTGAAACAACTGACTAGTTTATGGTTCATTCCAAGACCTATCCTGCTCAGTACTTTCCCCCATATCACTGACAACACTCTCGGTCTTTCACCCTAAACCCTATAAACCTTACAACCTCACCTGCACCGAACCAACCGTACAGCATCCAAGCTGCTAGGACGGGAGCTCAATGGAGGAGCCTTCCACAGAGGTCAACAACCTCGGCACAAGGAATGGACGTACCACGGCTTGGGGTTAGGGTTTGAAGATTAGGGTTTGCAGGGGCTGAGGGTTCTTTAGGGCCTCATAATTAGTTGGACAGTTGGAGGTTGTGTGTGTGTGTGCGCTGTATAATTGTGAGTTTATGTCAGCAAAGCGTTTCTGAAGGACTTGTATGAAGATTTTTGACCCCTTGTGCAACAGTTCCGCATTTGCTTGTTTCTGTAGCTGCGAGTGCAATCATGGCTCGTAGTTGCGTAGAAGTTTCCACCACAGAAGAGCTGGCATGCCCCAACACTATAGCCCCAAGGTGGTACCAGATGCCGCAGTGGGTGTGTTGATGGAGTCTTAACACTGTGCAGGCACTCGCATCGTCGTTTTCTTTGTTGAGATGTCAGGTGGACCTCACATTTATTGTGATGGCATTGCATATTGTGAAGCACTCCAAGTCAATTGCCAGACAGCTGGGAATACCCGCATGTCACAAACAGTGTCATCCAGCCAGGTGCGTGGATTCTTGTCAGTTTGACTCGGCTTATCCAAATGGAATCATCAATTGTTTTTGGCAACAGCACATGAGAACTACAAAGATAACCAGGCAGGGCCAGGCAGGTCTCTGACGGTCTCTAGGTTTTTGGCATGCGCACCTTCAGTTTTGAGATGATCACAAAGGCTTTTTGAAGCCTGCAAAGTTCATTCACCTGCTTTGTAAAGCAGATTGCTGATTCAAGATTCGTGCGTCTGTTGCGAGGACATTGTAGTTTCGCTACTGATTTTATGTGCCGTGCTACAATCATACCAGTTGCCTTCGGGTTTACGCGTTCTGGTCCAACGCTTTGGTATTGTGAGTAATGGTTGAAATCTATGTCTGCGCTTGTTGTCGTAACCAACCTTTCTAGCAAGAAGACTGATAGCAAGACTGTACGCAAGTTCGTGATTGACGTAGACCCCTCATGAACGACACTCCCTCCGGTGTCGTTTAACGTGTTTTAACACAAGTCCGTCAGCCATGTGAGCACTGAGCAGCTGAGACATTGTGCAGTGGTCAAGGGTCAACCCTACTACAAACCCTGCTGCAAACATCAGTGACTATCAGTGCTGCGATGCTGGATCCTCTTTGCAGGAGCTTGACGGCGTCTCCCAGCCATGAACGGAAGCCTTGCCGACGTAGTGCTTTGCGGCACCGCAGCTCAAGAGAGTTGCGGATTGAAGAGAAGAAGGCTCTTTGCCACACATGGTTTCGGCTTGAGGTCCGGGTTTGTGCACACCTAAGGATTTTGCTCCACAAGGACCCAACATCTAACCGCTTGAGGGACCATCGTCAGCAATAGACCAAAAACACCGTAGACTCAAAATTCTACACGGCACCCTAACACCCTTACCCGAAATCTACTTTCAGACACCAAGCCCTAGACCTTGTGTTTCAAACCCCTAACTCCACGCCTTCAAGCCCCGACGGCCTCTAACACAGGTGCGGGGTAGCCATGAACGGTTTTTGTATGGGCAGTTGCGAACTGCGAACTAAGTAGGATTGTGTGATTTATGATCTTTTAAAGTTTTTTGACCACAATGTGAGCCGCAGGCAAGTCTGACTTGGGCCTAGGGTTTTGAGATCTGTTGAGTTTAGCATCGTGCCAGCCATGCGCTTGCAATTCTGTGTCAATTGGGCTGACAACTACGAGTAGTTGCAAGCAAAGCTACCATCCCTGAATGTGCAGCCGCAATGCCAAACAGGGATCGCAATAAATTGTAGCAGTATCATTATGTTTACACCAGAATGAAACCCGCAACCCTATTCCGAATTAAGGCTCCTCTACTAGGGTTCGGAGACCTTCGACGCCAAGGTAGGTATTGAATACTAACTGTATACCTGCAGCTTTTAGCACAAGGGATCTCCCCCGATGAACTGTCATGCTCGTGAGGAAGGAGCGTTTTAGGTTTTTAGGGTTGATCCCCCGGGGCTAACAACCATGCCTGAAGCCATGACCCCCTGCACCCTACTGGGGGAGTCGGGGGGAGTAGTAGCTGCGTGGGTATTCAGCAGGGTTGTAGGAGGACTTGTTGTAGAATTACTAAGTCCGTGTATGAGTTTGTTGTACTGCTTCTTATATGTGTTGTTAAGGGTCTTGCTGCGTTTCATGATGGCAGGGCGGGTCGCGAAGACAAATTCCGACGTGCCGGAAAAGCCCAAAGCAAAGCCTGAACATCACTGATTGCTGTAATGTCGGGCTGGGACACAGTACTATTCCTCAGCTTCCCAAATAAAACGTCTTCTGGCTTCTATCTTGCTAACAATGTCCCAAGCCCAGAAATCCCAAGACCGGAAGTCTACATCACCTTTCATAACTGAGCCCGCGAGCCACCATGCCCAGAAACCTTATGAGAGTCTCGGACCTCCCTTGCTAAATTAAGGCAGGGTTTAGATTTTAGGGTTTAGGGTTTATTCTTGCAAATGTAGCTGCCGGAACTCCTGGAGACGCCTGAAAGTCGTTGCAACGAATTTCGGCGAGTTGGTGTCCATTTTCAGCACTGCCCGCAGACTTCGTTAACAAGAGCTTGGTTTCGCCTTAAACCCAAAACGCTTCTGACACGCAAACTGACTAGTAATACTGACAATCCTGGCAGAGTAACCTGAATATGTTTTGTCTAAACAATTTCCCAAAACCTCTTTAAGCCCTCAATCTAAATCCCTAAACCCTAAACCCTAAACCCTAAACCTCTTTAAGCCCTCAATCTAGATTATAGGTTAAAAGCATGTCAGCCCTAAGAGGCCTCGGGTTTGGTTGAAATCCCTAAACCCTGAACCCTAAACCCTAAACCCTAAACCCTAAACCCTAAACCCTAAACCCCTAAACCCTAAACCCCTAAACCCCTAAAACCCTAAACCCTGGGAGGCTGAAGCAGCTGAGGCTGCCCCGGAAGCAGGCTCTGAAAGGCTGGCCCTGAAGACTCGACGCTGAACAGAAAAAGCCCAGACACCAAGCCCTAAGCACCAAAGCCTAAACCCTAAACCCTAAAGCCTATCCCCCAAACACTATAATTGCTAAACCCTAAACCCTAAAACCAAACCCCTAAACCCTATAGTCCCTAAACCCCTAATCCCTAAACCCTAAACCCTAAACCCTAAACACTAAACCCCTAAACCCCTAAACCCCTAAACCCCTAAACCCCTAAACCCTAAACCCTCATCCCTAAACCTCTAGCTCAAGGGTGGGATTTCGAGTAAAGAGCAGAGGATGGCAGGGGTTTGGGATTTGGGGTTTAGGGATTTTTAGGGTTTAGGGATTTGGGGTTTGGGATTTGGGGTTTGGGATTTGGGGTTTAGGGATTTTTAGGCTGAGTGCAGTGCCAGCGCAGAGCACGGCAGACGACACGCCAGCATGGGCAGCGACGTCAGAAGCTCCCGGGCACTCTGGCAGCTTCGGGAGGGTGAGATGCCCATCCCTGCCACGCGCCGCCGTCGTGGGCAGCGAGTAAACTCTAAACCCTAAACCCTAAACCCTAAACCCTAAACCCTAAACCCTACACCCTAAACCCTAAACCCTAAACCCAAGCGCTAAGCCCCCAAGCGCCGAAGACATGCAGTGGCTGGGCGACCTTGATGGCCTGCTGAGCCACGCGGCGGAGAGCTGCTGTGCCGGCGTACCTCCAGCTATTATGGTTTTAGGGTTTAGGGTTTAGGGTTTAGGGTTTAGGGTGGCCCATTTGCAGGAAGAAGGCCAAGGTCAGGAAGATGGTACTTTTGCCTTCGCCGGCAGCGTCTCCGGCATGGCGTCCAGAGTCTGGACCTCGAGCAACCTTCACCCGGAAGCTTCGGTTTAGGGTTTAGGGCTTAGGGTTTACGGTTAGACACGGGCCTTCGCAAAGGCAGTGGCGGACACACTTCCCGGACCCGGACACAGCTTCCCGGAAGGGTTTTCATGTAGGTTAGCATGTAGAGGAGTACGTGATTACTGGGGTAGAGCTAGAGACCACCACCAGCCAACAAAAAAAAAATGAAGCGATCTTGCACGCTGAGCCCTGAAACCCAGACCGTTTTCCTTAAACCCCAAATCCTAAACCCTTAATAACCCTGAAACCCTAAACCCTCAACCCCCTAAACCCTAAACCCCTAAACCTCTAGACCCTAAACCCTAAATCCCCCTAAACCCTAAACCCCTAAACCCTAAACCATACATGATGAAAATTGAATCCTCGGAGGAGAGGGGCCTCAAGGGAGGGCTGGGCGGTGGGGGGATTCTGAGCTTTACCTTAAGCCATAGGCCCCATAGTAGTTGTTTTTTAGGGTTACCTTATAGGATTCTATATATGAACCCCCAAAAGGAACTACGTACTGTGGGGCCTATGGGAAGCTACCACAACCGACGTTTTTTGCAGGCTCTTGTTTTAAACCCCAAGGGACCCTACAACAAGTAGGTTTTGGTAGCTAAAGCTACTGTTTAGCGTTCAGTACAGAGGCGTCTTCCTGCATGCTCCATACCACCCAAGGTCCAAGGTTAAGAATCTAAGGCTACACCCTAAACCCCAAACACTAAACCTCAAACCCTAAACCCCAAACCCTACACGGCAAGTGGGCTTTCCAAGTGTTGTTCAACTGGAGGGTTCCGTTTTGGACTCAGCCCTGAACTGTTCCAGTAGTATCCTTCTTCGTACCCATAGGGCCCATGTACTCAGATGGCATGTCCTGTGGCCTGAAAGCACCTATATAGGGACTACTTCAAGGCCTATATGGACACATAGACCCTAAGGGTTAGTAGCTGGGCAGGTAACTTTTAACCTCTTGGGGTTTGTATAGCCCGAGCATGACTAGAAAGGTTAAGCTTTTTTGGAGGGTACTCAGCCCCTAAGTCTTTCAGCTTGTTCGTTAGGGGATCCATATGGGTGGTTGTCAAAAGTATGGTCCCTTTTTGGGTACCCTAAGTATTAGGTGCCGTATTATAATAAGGACCCTAAACGGGACCCTAATTTTGACAACCACCCATATATATATATATATATATATTTAGGGTTTAGGGTTTAAGGTGTATACACCTATATAATATGTATGGATGGCGACTTCTCTGAAGTAGGGTCCCTTTGTGGGGTCCCCAATATAGTACGGCACCTTTATAAAAAGGACCCCCCAAAGGGACCCTAATTTAGAGAACTACCCATAGGTTCTTTTACTATCCTGAATTAAGTCTCCCAAACCATAGGGAAGGTCGAGTTTTTCTTTCTGAATGGGTGGAGGGTTTAGGGTTTTAGGGTGGTGCCTTTTTCTACATTGTAGCTCCTGGTTTCCATTCATGTGTAGTTTCGGGTCGTATAGCAAAAGCCAGGAAAGCAGACACACGAGCTATTAAAGAGACTATATGGAGGACTCGCAACCCTACTATAGTACGAAGTGGGTATCTTATAACCCTAAACCCTAAACCCTAAGCCCAAATCCTGAACGCACATGATAGGCAAAGCCTCTCCCTGCAGCTCCCTCTTGGCCCAGTACATAGGGCTATCCTAGAGAAGTGGTGCCATAATACCACAAAGCCACAACCAGAGGTCTTGTTCTTAACCCCTAAACCCTAAGCTCTAAGCCCTAAATCCTGATCCCTACATCCTAAACCCTACACCCTAAACTCCCATTGTACCTAGAAGCCTCAACCAACACTGCCTCGGGGGTCCGGTTGCCCAGGTTGTCCAGGAAGACAGCCAAAGCACATGCTCTAGTTTTTGGGTTAGCCGAAGCCATAGATAAGTTCTAAAGCGTAGATAAGCCCTGAAAGCCCAAAGCTCTAAGTTGAGAGCCCGCAGCTCTAAATCCTAAACCTTAACCCTAGCCATAGGCCCCATAGTAGTTCCTTTTTGGGGTTCATATTTAGAATCCTACAATGTAATCCCAAAAAGGAACTACTATGGGCCCTATGGGTAGGCCTATGGGTGAACCTACACTGGGAAGGCGAGCATGCAGCCGTGTGGACGTGCATGCTGGCCGCTCGAACGATTCCGCTGGTGGGGCTTCGGACATAGTTTAGGGTTCACAGTTTAGGATTTAGGGTTTAGGGTTCAGGATTTAGGTTTCAGGGTTTAGTGTTTAGGATTTAGGATGTAGGGTCTAGGGCCTAGGGATTACGGTCTAGGAGGTAATATTACGGGTTTATAAGTTTCGGTTTTGTGTTTTTGGCAAGACCTCCCTTGGATGGTTCTACAGAGTTGTGTGCACTTGTTTTTGTTGGTTTCCGTCATGGCTTTCTGGCTTGCGGGGGCGTATGGTTTCGGGACCAAGTGTGCGGTGGCAAGGAGCAGGGTAGTAGGGATCAGCTACAGGACTTGAGACACCGTTGGCTGAGGGGTCAGCTTGTAGAAGTCTGTTCCAAATGGTCTTAACTAGTTGTATTTAATGTATTTATAGCTGAGACACAACTTCTACTAAGTGCTGGGGATCTTTTGGGTGTGCGTGTGTGTGTGTGTGTGTGTGTGCTCTGCTCACTTTGCACAGGGATTCACGCAGGGCCACTGGGTTTGGAGTCTGGTCGCTAGGGCCGACGCGTAAGACTGCCAAGAACAATGACCGCGCCCAGTCAGACGGTAGGCAGTAGTGGCACTGGCAACATTACAAGTTCGATGACCAGAACCGTAGTAAAGGTAGTGCTACTCGGATCAATAGGCCTATGCTCCCCAGACCCTAAACCCTTTTGCATGTTCGTGTCTGATTTTTTCATCTCACGATTTGGGGCTGTGTGTTTTTGTGCCGTGTGCAATCGCGACCTGAGCCCCCAAAGTCTGTCCTGGACCGGCTCCTTTTCAACTGAAAGGGTTGTCAATTTAGGGTTTAGGGCTCAGGGAGTTGAGTTTGCCGGCTTGGGGCCCCAAATCTTCTGAACGATCAACCGCTTATTTAGGGTTCAGGTATTTGAACCAAAAACCCGAATCCTCAAACGCAGTCGCCCATAGCCGCACGTCCTCCGCAACGAACGGGATCACTTGCGGTGGCCTCACACTCTCCTGCTTATGCTTGGGTCTTAGAGCCAGATCCGGTCATACAGGCTCTCCATATGCTAGCCAGGCTTGCTAAAGTGTACCATGAGATGCGCATGACCTCAGCCCACTACCATGGTTCTCTTTACAGTCGCATGTACATAGATATATCTGTATGCACACATACGCACACATATGTAAGTACCTTCGTTTTGTAGTTATTCTCGTGGCTCCTGCAAATCCTGTTTAAGTGATGCAGCTGCTGTTTCAGTGTTCATGTCGTTCGGGTTCGGTTACCCAGCATACCTGTAAGTTAACTAGCAGCCCGAGGTCGGATTAAACCCTATATCTTAAACCCTAAACCTTGAATCCTACACCTTAAACCCTAAATCTTCAGCCCTAACCCTATGGAGGTGAGGCGGCATCCGGCACCTCCAGCGCACGGCAGGTTCATATGGGAGACGAAAAGGGGGTGGTAAAATACTTCGCAGGGTACGATGGTTGCCAGAAGGGTTCTGTAGAGGTTCTTACAAAGGTTCCCTTTAACACTTCCAAAAGAGTTCCAGGATGTTGGCAGGGTCTAGCTTTGAGATAACCCTAAACCAAAAACCCTAAACCCGAATGGTTTGAGGGTTCGGGTAGTTTCGAAGCCCAAAGTCAGTACATTAAAACAGTTTTGTCCGGGCCCTAACCCCTTCAAAGCCCATCAGCCTCCAGCCCAAAGTCCAAGAAACCCTAAACCCTAGAACGCGAACGATAGGTTCAGGCAGTTCGGCCTCGAAAGTTTTCGAGCTAAGGCCAAACCTTATTCTCATCCGACGCGCAAGGCTTTCTGTTGAATTAGGGTAATATATAGGGGCCTTATAACAACTACCTANNTACCTATACTATCTTGCGGGTTCCTTATCATGGTTCTAGTATAGTACACCCCAAAACCCCTATTCCAATTGTTAAGGCCCCTATATTATAGAACTCTATCATAGATCCCTGAATAGAAGCCTGCAAGGAACCGTTTCGGGATCCCTTTAAAGGAACCCCCTTCGAATTATTCAGGCCCCTACATGAAGAAGGCGTTGGAGTCTTAGGGGTTTCGAGGCTCGGTTGTCGGGGCTCGGAGTTTCGGGTTTATAGGAGGGGGAAAAGCGAAGTGTATAATATAGGGGCTTCAATAAGTAGAATAGGGTTTGGGGTATAGTTATACTTTAATTATAGTAAGGAACTCCCCCCAAACCCTATTGAAAATCATTAAGGCCCCTACATGAATCGTGAAATCGGAGCAGCCTTCACTGACTCTTCTGGACCGTAAGTGGTTCATCTTCGAGCCATTCCCCCGGGAAACCCTGTAAACCTTGACGAAGCCTTCGATCAACCATACATCCGACGCATCGTTCGAGCTCGTTTAAGAACGTTTAGGGTGTAGGGTGTGTGCCCTAAGAACTACGCTAAGCCCTGCAACCCTAAAAGGGACCCTTCAAGAAACCCTAAAACGGACCCTGCATCGAACCATGAAAGCCCTAAACCCTAAACCCTAAACCCTAAACCCTAAACCCTAAACCCTATATGTCGGCTCGGTGAGGCCTTGCAGAAGCTTTTCCAATCCATGCAGAAAGAAAAGCCGAAGCCAGGCAACGCTTCGGCTTCGGATGTTTGGTGTAGGGCTTGGGATCTGTAAAGGGGTAGTTCTCTAAATTAGGTCCCTGCTTAAGTCCCCAAGATAGTATGGCACTCTTCTATAAAAGACCCTAAAAGGGACCCTGCTTTAGAGAACCGCCCAAAAAAAGTTCAGGGCTCAGGCTATTTCCCGGGTTACCAGGGTATAGGATCTCGGATGTTAAGATCCAGGATTCGGGTTATTGGATGCCTGGTCATGCGTTGAAAAGACGGGTTTGGTAAGCCACACCCAATAGTGCACTTAAATCCTAAACCCTAAAATCTAAACCCTAAACCCTGAAAAACTCTATTCCCTAAACCCTAAAAGCCCGAAGCACTCGCGGTTAGGACAATGCTGCAGGTTCGGGATCTGAGTTTCAGGGGAGTAGACGGATTGTCGTTCTTTGGGTCATTGTGGTTGAGGCATGAATGCGGTGCATGGAGGTTGGTTGAAATATCAAGTACCCTAAGGCTCCATGTGCCCATATAGTACAGACTTAGGCTTGAAAGTACCTATACAGGAGCCCCTTTAAGGCTTAAGTATCTACTATAAAGGTACATGGAGCCTTTGGGGTAGGAAACAACAGTAGAAGGCCATTCGGTGCTTCTCAGGACCAGCAAGAAGCAGAGAAGCATGGAGAGCCTTCACGTTGCGGTGTTTCTAAGTCGGTACACTACCGACACTCAAATCCCCCCATAAGTCCTATATAGGGGCCTTAATGGTTACGTACATTATTTTGAGGGTTCCTTATTGTATCTGTAGTATAGCATACCTCAAAGCCCTTTTCGATTTGTGAAGGCCTCTATGGTATCTTCTCATCTCTAGGAGCTCAGTCCAAAGTCCTTGAGCACAGCTTATATGGTCTCTATTGCGGTTCCGCTTAAGGCTAACTTTTAAGGGATCCTAACCATAGGATCGGTTGTGAAAGAGGGAACGATAACAAAGACTGTATGTAAATCAGAGCACCTGTATGTCTAAATTGAGAGGCAAGTTGAACACCGCGGAAGGTTGAGCTCCTTGACATAGTTCTACTATATATAGTATACTGTACACCCCGAAACCCTGTCCTATTGATTGTTACTAACCCCTAAACCCTCAACAACTGAAGCTCCAAAACAGACTGAAACCCTAAACCCTAAACAACTAAACAACTAAAGCTCAAAAGAAGATCTAAACCCTAAACCCTAGATCTAGAGTAGGCTGCAGCAGGTTCTTCTTCGGAGTCCACTTCCAAGCTGTCGGAGACGAGGAAGGCCACTCTCCAAGAGGCATATTCGGGTTTAGGGTTCAGGGTTAAGGGCTTCGGGTTTAGGTTTAGGGTTTAGGGTTCAGGGTTTAGGCTAAGTTTGGGCTTGGAACCCTAAACCCTAAACCCTAAACCCCTAAACCCTAAACCCCTAGGGTTGA